AACGCACCTTTATCGGACAAAATTTGATGCAAATTATTACGAATAATGGATGAAAAATACTGTTTTGTAAGAAATAAGATAAGCATATCTAAAGTTAAATAATTATTCATCGAGAAAGATCATTTACATGCTATCAATAATAACAAAAAAATAAATATAATATTAATTATTTAAATCATTTTTACTTATTTAAGAATTTAATAAATTGTAATATCAATTACAATTTAAAAGTATTTGAATATTTAAATTAAAAAATAATAATTATTAATTTTTCGTCGTAAACGAATTACAATGTCCAAGTTGATAAAATGCATGTTTGGTCAGCATTTAACTCGGCTAATTTAAATAAGTGAAGCGAACTACGATGTATGCAGTCGCGAATAATTAGTACACTTTCTACGAAGGAATAAACTTCCATTAAGAGAAACAATAATTAAATTGCATTTTTTTTTCGCGGTGCATTTATTTATAGAAGTTAATTGGTTTCCCGAACAATCGTTTATCTTTCAATCCAGAATCCCATGTAATTACTTTCTTTTATTCGTTTCGAATAAAGTTGCGTGCGTAGAACGATATGATTAGTTGAATGTGGACGATGAAAAATAAAGGAATAATAGAGAATTCAATTAGGAGACTTTCAGCCACAAAACGAACGTAAGTATTGTATCCTGCGTTGTGTAACAAGAATCTGTACCTTCATTTATATGACGTGAACATAATTGCAATTAATTATCAACTCCCTTACTATTGCATTATCACAGAACTGTAAGTTCACCGGTAGAACCTAGGTATCTGGGTTAACTCAATTATATCTTTGATCTAATTGCCGTTATTCAACGTACTTTCAACTATCAAAAGAATAATTATTACCTCTAAAAGAATTATTTTTATTAGACAATTTTTTTCTTTTATTAGAACATTATCATTTTTAATATAAAATATCTTTATTGAGTAATTTAAATTAATTTAATCAATTCTTTTTATCGTGACAACAAGCTTCTTATTTAATACAGAATATAGATAAATGTTATTATATAGTTATTATATAATGTTATGATAGAATTTAATTTTAATTTTAATTTAGGCTTCAATTTTTTTAGACAGAGAGAATTATTAGTTTAATTTATTCATTTATTCGGAAATTTAACAATAGCCAATATTTACATTGGCTACGATATTTACAATATCGTATTTTAACGATAACCGATATTGATTTAAAAAATTATTAAAAAGATTTGTTATTATTAAATTCTTATTATTTTCATCAACTATCGAACAAATGCGGTTTTTAATTAATCGAAGGATTAAATTTAATAAATCGAAGAAATCCAATAATTTTTCATCGATCGCAACTCGAATCAAAATCGAAGAAGGCGACGTGTTTCTAATCGCAATGCATTGCTGAATCGCCGTTTCACAAGGTTTTAATTACTACAACATGAGCGCCAGTGCCACTACCAGAATTACTCCATTAGTGAATAAAAGCTAGCTCAGCTTTACTAATTCTACGTGCCTCTAGCTAAAACGTTCACTGCTTCAATTATAGAAATTCTCGCAACACGTTCGAACTTTTCATCCTTACAGAAAACGAAACTCTTTTTCATCGACTGTCCAATCGATGATCAAGAAGAAACGATTACAGAATTAAAATCTATTTTTTCGATCGTTCTCACACACTTTTTCTATTCGAGAATATTACACGGCTCGTTCATAATGGATTATTCGTAAAATATAATCGATAAGAGAAACACGCGATTCAATATTCCACACTTCTGAGTGTGATACATACATTTGCGCCGACTTTGACAGGATGTCGATCGATCGAAAATGCCCATATATTTTTCTGTCTTCCCATTACTTGCGTGATATATCGACCTACAGTGACATCATTCCGAATACACACCTCTCAGAAACGGCTGTTTCTACGTGCGAATACAAAACTCGTTCGCTGGACCCCTACGTTACACCTCGTAGATGCATTTTGCCATCCTCGATCAGTTTCACGACGAGTCATCGATATTTGTCAATTCTATTCCAACCGGATATACCTTACTTAAAGTTCTACGTGAATATAGCGAAATAAAATCGTGGAAATAAAGAAAAAATATTCTTTTTTTATTGAAGAAGTGTTAGGATTTAGCTAATGAAAATAACTATTTGAAAATATTTTGATTAATTTTTGTTCTTTTCTTTCTTCATTAAGGAAACTTAATTCTTTTAATTCTTGATTAATTTTTTATTACTCTATTTTTTTTTTATTAATTTTTAATTTTAGTTCTATTAACTCAAAAAAGATACAATCAAAGAAAATTATATGAAAACAATATTTGATTGGAATAAAGTTTCACAATAATTTTTTAATGGTTACATTTTCAAAATTTAAAAATCAAAAAATTATAATTGTTATTAATTTTCTTTTTAGCGATAAATTTGAATTTAATGATATTACTTTAAGAGCACTAATGTTACATAACACTCTTGGATTATATCCTCTCTCGAGGATTCTCATAGAATTGTTCACTCCATAAAAGTATATGTACTAGAAAATGTCTGTTGTTGCGTACTTTTGGGATCTCCTGTCTCATGGTGCGATAAACTGTACACCTTAGTGGAATTTTTAAAGCGAAAGAAGATAAGAACTTAAATTAATAGCTTCTATAAATGACGCAAAATTTTCCGCTAGATTCATAAATCTATCCGCATATTTAATCGAATATTTTATAATGAATGAAATATTATTTATTAGAAAAAAATCACCATTCGAAGGAAAATAATCATCCTTAATTATACAAATCCAGAAACTTTCTATATCAAGATCAATCATGCAGTGTTATCTTTATTCTTTTTCCATTTTTCTTTTTCAAAACTTTGAAAACTCAATTCTCCTAAGAGAATAATTTTAGAAACCTTTAATGCTAATGAGAAATAATATCAATCTCGCGAGTATTCCACGATGAACTTGTAACAGATATTATCTTATAACAATTCTACTGATTACATTCAAGCAAACCACGTTACTTATCAAACTATTCATCCGTTTCTTCGAACATAAGAGAAAAGAAGCAATTTCCAAAGAAGCAAAAAATTTTCAATTTTCGGACTAATTTAAAACTCGATGGAATTCGTGATTCGCATTTCCCATTTCGCACACATACATCCCTTATCTTACTTTTTTTTTGTCGAAATCGTCCAAAATCCTGTCTCATTTAACGCTGTATCGTTCGAAGATAGAAGGAGTTCACGATAAAAGTAACAAACTCTCGTATTTTTCTCTCTCGAAATTCACCGATAAACTCCTCCACGTTTCTCGAGGAAAGAGGCAACTTTGAAAATATTTGCCTATGAACCAGTAATTTCACGCTTGACTCCTGTCCACTCGTCGATCTATGTGCACCCGAGTTTTGGATCGTTCCTCTCCATCTTTCCATCTAACATTTAGATAGAAAGTGAAAATTAAATTTCCTAGAAATTTAGGCTTGTCTATCGGAACATAAAATATGGAATATGAGGAGATTTATGGTCTTCTCAATCCTCTTGCTGACTCTTAACTTTTCCCTATTCTTTCTTCAATTCGTTCCGCCATTTTTACTTTCGAGTTATCTAAGAAGAAGAATACTATATATATATAGTATAGAAGAATAATATGTCTTCTTGATGATCACTGAAATTCTTTTACATGCGAGAGAATTCCTTCCTTGGATATTGTGCCGTAAAATCGATTGCTTTAGTGCAATTTTACGTCGAATTAATTTAACGAGTTGTCAGGTATTTAAATAATTTATTGTGAAAAAAAATTCTTTTCTATCGCATGAAAATATTTCCTTAAAAATATATCGAATAATAATCACTTGTTAATGGTCACATGAAGGCATATTATATCGCATGGAGATATTTTTCAAAAAATACATATTGAAATAACTTTGTGCATACATTTATATTCATACATTTCTTCCTTACGTATATATATATATATATACGTGAAATATTTCCTAGGTAATTTCTTTGGTTAAAAACAAACTTTGGCAAAATTTGACAATCAATTTTACAAAATATCAATTTAACATTTTCCATTTTGGAAAATGAGAATAACTTCAGTGTTCTCGTTTTCCGATATTCATCTCTAGAATTTTGCACCGTTTTTGATGGACACGGAAGGAAAATGGTTCGCGAGACTTCTTCCAAAGGTAAAATGGATATCTAGGCAAAATCCTTTATAGCCGGTAGATCCTTGAATTTACGAAACTCCGTAGGCGAAACTTCCAAACTCGTACCAAGAATAAAAATATCATTTTTGAGAAGGAATGGAAAATCTAAATTTCGCCGAATTTCTCTCGATTTTGTTAACGATAATCGTTATTCGATCGATATTTATTCAGCAAATAACCGTGAACGTGGAAACGAGATAATCGTCTGATATTTATCGAATAATCGCGACCGAATTATTCCTGCGATAATACGTTTAATAATGCCAATGAACGTTTGAACTTTCGGATTAATTTATCTATGCAATATTTATAAAAGAATGAAAGGGAAAAAAGATTGATAACGCAACGGAAGATGAAAGAATCTTCTCCATAAAGTGAACGTTAAATTATCGCGAGTTACTTTGTCGCCTCTGAAGATTGTCAGAAAAATAGGTCGTAACGTTTTGCACAATTCTGAAAACTGGCGAAAGCTTCTATGGCGTGATTAAAAAGCTTGTTTCAAAATTTAAAAATGTATGCTTGAGTGAATTCATTCCGAAGATGAAAGTCGTCCGCATAGTTCCAAGTGGTTTTTTAATTATAAAAATATTGCAATTAAATTTCTGTACTTCCAAAAAAAACGTAAGCTCTTAATTCGAAAATTGTTCTTGTCTACCTTCTTTTTAAACGATCATGAGATTCCAACATCTGGAATTACGTATCATCATAGTCGACTTTCACGAGTGAATTTATGAGATCTGTACGGACAATAGGATTGGAAAGCTTTTTTCTAATCTAGTGATATCTTTTCCACAGGTGACGACTTTCAACGTTGAACAACTGGGCGTCGTTCGTCCTGTGGGAGACAGAGAGCAGAAATAAGGATGGCCTTTCATTGGGATAAGCTCTCACCAGCGGAATTTCAACAACTCCAGGATTTAGCAGCTTGTAAGTAAAGAGGAAAAAGTGGAAACAGTAGAATGTCACGGTAGAGTTTCATCAAACTCTGTTACACTGAACTAAGGGAAAACCAGTAGTATCGGAAAAATCGAGGCATCGGTGTAACCGAGTTTTTATATCGGTATAGAGCACTTTCCAAGAGAATAAAAAATTTTATCGTTCAATTGTATTGTATACGTGAAAAATGCTCTTTATATTTTGAACAAATCCCGTTGAGATTATTTTATGATAGATTTTATCGCCCGTGTGTGAATAAGATTTTCACAGAATTTTTTGAAGTTATTACAAAGTTATTACATGGTTGATACATATAAGATTTTGTTTCTTCAAAACTTGAATTTGATAGGTATGTATCATTAAATTATTAAATTTTCTGTCTTGTTTTTTATTTTTATGAATAGTAATTAAAAAAATTTTCTGTAAATTAAAGAAATTTTCTGTAAATTATACGCAACGTATTATATTTGGAATATTACGATAAAAATATTAGAATAGTAGGAATATTTGTCATAATTGAATTTGAATTGAGTGAAATTGTGTCGAAAATATAAATTTAGATCCACTTAAATAATTTTTCGATCGATAAATTGTTTCGAAAAAGTTGTATTCGAAGATTCCTTGACTTGGTAACGAATAATGAAACTAGCATAATATTTCAAAGTACATATTAACATACTAAATACCCAAAGCACACATTTGAAAATGATTAGAACTCGTAGCGTGATTAATAAAATAACTTCCGGAGGTCTCGAGTGAAACTCGTAGAATGTCGAGCTCATTGTTTATGGAATTATGGAAATTCATGCGGTATCGTCTGGAAGGAGCTGGAATTCATTTTGAATGTATTGTAGAAGGCCGGTTGCTTTTCGGATAAATTCCAAATTTTGTGACAGCGCACTTTTCTCATATAATACTCTGGTAAAACTTACGATCTTGTGTTCTTTTATTAATCCTATAAACACCGTTGAAATTGTTAGCTTTCCGTATTCAATATCATGAATCTTCGCTCGAAAAGGGCGCTTTCACGTATCACGTATTTATGTATTCGTCCGTAACAAGTCATTTCCACTGTATCCGGCCAGGCAACGCTATATAATTTCTATCGAATGATTCGTCAAAAACGCAATCACCGTTTATTAACCATACTTTGATGAACATTAATTACTCTATTTACTCAAATTGATAATTGCTACCTCCGTCAATTTTAATTTAAATAACGAAACGTTTTCGATCGAACACCGAAACAAAAAAATAAAAAAAAAGGAAAAGAAAAAAAAAAGAGAAAAAAGCATAATTGCAATCAGTATTCAATATCCTCGACATTGATTTCCCATTTTTAAGGAGAACTAACCTCAATTTCCTGATTTTCAGATTTTCGACCGGAAACACGAGTTTCCACGCAAGGACGTTAATCATACGTTCCATCGGTGCACGATCCATCATATTTCTCGTCAATCGTCCCGAAAATAGTCGCCATCCAAAAATATCCTCGTTCGTTAAGTGCATTATGACGTCGACGCTGGCTAGATTAGGCCAATGGTCTCCTATTATTAGTCAATTTATCGTCGTTGTTTCCTCTGCAAACGACTGAATCCCAAAAGTACGATCGATCGCGTTTCTGCCCCTGGCCAAATCTCTCCTTTTTCTTTCTTTCTCACGGCAAAACCTGGCCAATAAATCGGGTGAAAAGGCGCCTTCGTCGCCTTTTTGTCTGAATATCGGTTCGAGCGGTCAGTTTCCACTCGACGAGCTCGAGTAATAACGCGCCGATATCGTTTTTAATTGTCGTCGCGAGAGATATCGCGAGCTGTTGACATTTGCCCAGATAAAGTTTGCTCGAAGGTTGGATCAAGTGGATAAAGATGTGGTTTCGTTTCGCTCAGAAATAGAATCAGAAATAAGAAATAAGGGACAGATCTGGACGGTACGTTTTACGAGCACTTGAGCGAGGTTTGTTATTTTTGAGATCAGGAAGTAGCGTGGGTTTTGATCAGAAAGCTCGTTTCGTTGATTCGTGAAGGACAGAAGTTGAAATTTGAAAGATTTGATAATTGAGAGATTTTAGAATTGAGTATATTTTATTATCTTTCGATATCTTAATCTTAATCAAGTTGAATGTAACGATTTTATGGAAAACGTTTTGAATATGTATTTATATTTGAAACGTTTTGTTATATGTATTAGAAATTTTCTTTAATTTGTTTTGTCGTATTTATATTCATTAATTTTATTTAAAATTTTAGATATAATTTTACGTAATCTAAGATTGGCAAGTTTTCGTACGTTTGACGTCAAAACGTTGTACGTTTCCTTGTACATTTTAAACGGAGAACTCGATGCATTTCACTCATTACATTACTCACAAAATTACATTTTCTGGTAAACAGGAAGTTGGTGCTACCGCATACAGGAAATCATGGTTGCTTTTAACTTCATTGTTTCAGATTCCACGCGAAAGCTACAGGATGTCCTCACTGAATTTTGCGGATCAAACACAACACCCAGCGGTGCACCCAAATATCATCCAGATGGTGTAAGTTTGAACCAAAATTATCCACAAACTAAGGTACTAGTAATGGTTTATTATATTTATTCGGCATGATCTTATCGCGCGTACATTTTCCATCTTTTCTTTGATTGACAAAAATTTTATCACTTTTTATCAAAAATCGAGTGATTATATCGAAAATAAATATATATGGGGAAGAAATAAATTGCTTAAAATTAAATAAATAAATATATTATTCTGTTATTATTAAGGTTGAGTTAATACAATATTTCGTTTTTAATTGTTTTCATTTAACATATAATTTTATTCTATATTGTAGTTCTAAAAGAATATGTTCTCCATCGTTTCTCTTTTTCTTTCTATTTAAATTTTGTACAATTTTATACAATTCTAAAAATTTGATTTTCATTTCCATAATGATAGTTTCCTTTTCAAATAATGGAAGTATTTTCTGAATTTTATATAATTGTGTTTTTTTAATGGTATTTATACATATAATATCTATTATAAATACTCGTATCGATGAGCATTATTGTATTTACGCAAAATATTTTGAAAAATTTCAACGCAGAGGTAAATTTGAAAGGCCAAAACTGTATAAATGTAAAATTTTGTTACGATAAAAATTATTTTTAAAAACATTTATCTTCCCCAATATATTTATTAAATAGCATAAGGAGAAAAAATAAAAAAAAAAACGAATTCACTGAAATCGTTAATGATGGCTAACTTTAAATTGAGCGTCGTCTAATTTTCCACGATCAAACGATTCCCATTAATTCTCTCGCTTGTTTCGAGAAAAATACGATTTTCCTTAATATTTCGAATTCTCCGTTGTTTAAATGAAAGACTCGAGGAAGATACGATATTCATAAAATATGCTCAATTTTTAAGAGAAGAAAAGATATAAAAGAAAGAAAAAGATGATGTAGAAGAATAATTAGATGAATCAACGTCATTGTAACATTGAAACGATCGAATAATACGTTGCGTACTTGAAAGCTTTAATTCTCAGGGTATGATATAATTACGATTTTTCGTCTGTTTTCTTTCTTTCCTTTTTTTTTTTTTTTTTCGACCAGATACAGTCGTCGAAAAGTAGTCGACTGAATTTCCCTCAATGGATACGCGAAATAATGTACTCGCAATTTGCATTTTTCCTTGCTTCGTCGGTTGTGGTTGAAATAAAACAATACTGATAAATAATAAAATGTGACGCGATGAAATAATTTCCACAATTTCCGGGTAAACATCTTCATTTTATTTCTTTTTTTTGTTTTAATTTTTTTTTGCAATAATGAATTGTTTATCGAAGTACAATAATATTTTTTTTACGCGACCAACAAATTTTTTATCTCAATACTCTACGTAAATATATTTACAGTTTCTTTTTTTAAAAATATCCTTCTGATTATTCATTGATATAAATATGTTAAATATCCAAACGTTTAATCGTTGCCGTTACAAAACCTGCTTGTCGTAAAAGACAAACTTCACTGGTCAGAAATGCGTTTGTATGGCGTTATATTCCTTAATACAATAACGCAATCATATTCACGCATGAAGAATATAAAAGTGTATGGAACACTTATGTAGGCTAGAAATTTGTATTAGTATGCATCGAGGAAACGCGTGTCCCATAAAATCTCAAATTATTCCTGTAGCTATTACAGTGGGAATACGTCTGAGTCCAGAGGAACAGGTGCGAGTTATTGCGAGTTTATACCGCAGGATGGTCCTCCACGTATGTTTGTGTTTCCGTATATGCGGGGGCGTGTGTTGTTTATGATGGTATCCCCAAATCGATCATACCTCATAGGAAAAATTTGAAAAATTCGAAATTTATTCGAGACATTTCTTTGAAAAATATCTAATGGATTGTACAAGATGGATTCGTCAATTATTTTCTTCTATTTTCATAGAGAAAATTATCATAGAGAGAATTCTTTGTTACTGCAATAATTTATTATTTAACAGAGAATCATTTATATAAACGCAGACTCGATATCAAGATGCTCGTGTTGAAATAAATGAAACAAAGTTGAATTTATTTGATGAAATTGCGTTGGATTTTTTTTTTTTTTTTTTTTTTTTTTAGAAATTTCATTTTTAAAGCGAATGTTTCTGTTGTGACGTAAGTGGTCTCTTGTTTTCTGGTAGAATCGTTGGAAGAAGGTATCACAGTCTTACCATACTTTGTTACCAGATCTTTGAAGATCAATGTTTACCGACTGGCTTGACATCCCTGTCTTTTTCTTTTTATCAAGAAACTGGATATCTGATACTCTATAACCTCAGATTTCTGTCATCTATAGATTATAACCAAGTATTACGTTACAAATTAGGAAATGTTACAAAAATAATTAACACAGAACAATTTCTTATAAAAGCAAAAATCAGAAAACGATTCTCTGATATCCTTCACTAAAATCTATCGTTATAAAATATAACGACGTCGATCTCCATTCAAAAAAGTTACAAACAACATCAAAAGATTATTTTTAATGTTTATCGAAGCATTAGTAATAATTGATTATTAGAGAAATTTACGATGTGATTTTTTGACGCAATGATAAAACTATGAGAGTACTAGGTGTTATCGTAGTCGACTGATAATGTCTCCTGACTGATAGATTGTCGGGTGGCGCATCAACCATAGGGAAGCTGTGAAAGACGAGTATACGTCGTTATCCGCCACCAGGATAACGATCCCTTTATATCATGCTCACTTACACTTTTATATTTATTTTCCTTTCATATCCAACCTTCCTCCTCACAAATGTAACGCAAGAAATTTTTCCGTATCTTTTTCAAGTCTTTTTTTTTTCCAACTAATTTTTTTTTCTTAATTAATTCTTATCCCCTTATTTATTTATCCCCATTATACAGAAATCGTCTTCGTTTAAAGTAAATAATATTCATCTTTATTCGATTCTCTTTTTTTTCGTTTATCCTTGAAAGAATTTAAGTGAAATTATCCTTGCACAAAACAGGATTTGTTACGCGTTTGACGTAAATACAATTTGCCTCGTTTTATTATGTACACGATACTCATGGATATAAATAACAGAGAAAATTCTTTGATCGAGTAAACCGCTCTTCTTTATCTATAGAGTGAGAAAGAGATCTATCAGGATGGATCAGTTTGGTGGAAAAAATAACATCGGTTAGCACTAACCGATCGTCCATCTAATTCGAATTTTCTCTTTCCCGGAAAATGGTTAAATTCTGCGAAAGAGTGATAGAAAAGGGAAAGACAAGGATTTCGGATAATTAATCCTATTGTAGAATTGCTCGGAAACTCGGAATAATCTCTCTGAAATTAATCGTTTATATCGAACCGTAAAATATGGTTTCTGTTAACAAATGACTCCGCTGGATTCAATTATTTTTCATTTAATATCTGTTCCTAACGATACTATCAAAGCTTTTAACAAAATAAAATTACGAATAAAGCAATTGATTATTTAATTAAAATTTTACGTTTCGAAAAATTTTTCCAATTTTTTCCAACTTCCTAAATTAAAACTGCTTTGAATTATAAACGACATCCGTTCCCCACAATTTTCCACACTTTTCTTGAATAAGAAGCAACGAACAATGCTTCAAACATGAAACATTGGACAACTATTTGTACATTTTAGTTAAAGCAAAACTCAAAGAACAAAGCTTCAAAGTAACGGGATGAAAATTTTCACTGTTTCCAATTTCTCAAATTAGATTATTTGCCTCTGTCGAATCTTCTCGGCAGGAACTCGAGAGAAACAAAGTGAAAATTTTCACTGTTTCTGATTTCTCAAATTAGAGTTGGCTGGATTGAAATCCCCCCCCGCTACGGAACCCAAGAGAAACAAAGTGAAAATTTTCGCTGTTCCTGATTTCTCAGATTAGAAGTGACTGGATTGAAATTTCTAGGCGAAGCTCGAAAGGGACGGAAGGACCGTGCCGTGGCAAAACGTTTTCGTCCTATTCACTGATCGTGAATCATAATTGAACATGCCAGACGTGGTTAACTATTCGGTGTCGGTCACGATCGACCTCAAATCTTCTCACTGACCACTACTGAGAGAATTCAATTTGCTCTGTCACGCCTTCTCCTAATACACGCTATTAATTATGCACGCTAGAATTAGGATATTCGCCGTGGACACTGATGAGCGAGCATTAAGAAGTTCAATTTGCACGGGGGAAGCGTGGAATCCACTACTGTGGACTTCCGGCGGATAGGAAATCTCTGCCGTTAATTCGAGAAGTTCTGGCGGAGATCTCGAAGCAAAATTAATTACCAACGAAATTATCTTGGGAAGATAGAAGTGAGAAACGATTTCTTTAAAATTTCTTATGTCACGAGTTTATTTGACGATTTTAGAAAAAAAGTGGTGTTTATAATCACTTGGAATATTTCGTGTATTAAAATACTGTTTGAATGAGTTGTTTGAATCAATTTTTGCTTTGTTATAAATATAGACAATTTGGATTTTAATAATCGTGATTTATGGAATTTCAATAATGTTAATTTAATCGAATTAACGAAGAATTAGAAAATGTGCGGTGTAGGAAAGTTTCCCTCGGTTTGTTTAGGTTGCATGTTGATTGGTTGTTGTCGATAATGCTAATTTTCTAATTAAGTGTCCTAAGTGCCACGACTATCTTACTATCACGCGACCTTAATGCCAAAAAGAATTAACGTGAAGTGTGGAGAGTTCATTGGAAAGGTCAGAGGATCTTCTTTACCAGTAATTTCAACTGTCTATCATTTCCATCGTTATAATATTGAATTTATCAAGATATCAAGCATCATAAAAATCAAATATACTTAGAACAATTTGTATTTATTTATTTTCTATTTAACGTGATTTCATTCATAAACTTGATGAAAGTGTATTTTTATTCCCGAACAAAAGAGAATTTATCTTAAAAATTATCTTAAAAATAAATCGAAATTAAATTCCATCGAATTTCCACCGAATGATTTCAACAATATTCAAATATTTCCTATTTAATTCGTCCTTCTGACCGTTTGAGCTCACGAGTCGCCCAAACGAGCCGACAAAAGC